AGGGACAAGACAGGAGGAAAAATCAGTTCCGGACAGGGACGGCTAACATAAGGCTCTTTTTAGCCTCATAACCAGAAGGCGCAAAGGGGCTCCCTGACAGGCACCATGTACAATCAGGGAACTTCTTCGATTTCATCTTTTCAGGGCTCTGAATTGTGTTTTGCTGCTGACTGGGTTGTAAAGGCCTGTTACAACAGCCTATTACAGAGAAGCATCCCGTTATAGTAGAGAGATTTCCATGTCCCGGCAAATGGCCCACACAAATGGGAATCTGTTGATGGAGACAGAGGCAACTTTTTTTTTTTTTAGGTGAGGAAGATTGGCCCTGAGCTAACATCCATTGCCAATCTTCCTCTTTTTGCTTGAGGAAGATTGTCCCTGAACTAGCATCTGTGCCAATCTTCCTTTATTTTGTATAGGGGACACCGCCATAACATGGTTTGATGAGTGGTGTATAGGTCTGCACCTGGGATCCCAACCAGCAAACCCCAGGCCACCGAAGTGGAGTGTGCAGATTTAACCACTACACTGCGGGGCCAGCCCCTGGAGGCAAGATTTTCTACAGCAGGCTCCTCTTGTCTCTCTCTCTGATTCCAGTGTGCTTTTGGGTGGAGAGAAACGCGTTAGGTTCTCTTGGCCTTGTCTGTGTGAGGAGGGATGGGCTGGAAGGGTCAAGGGGCAGGGAAAGAAATTAGAGTGGACAGAGGCACACTGAGAAGGGAAGAAAGCTGATGCGAGACCGAGATTCTTACAGACTTCTGGTTTGGCTTCAGTAACAGTAACAGACCCTCAGGATATGAGTTCTAGAGAGATGCTTGGAAATCAACCATTTAAAGCAGTGTTTTTCAAACTGTAGGTGGCAACCTATTATGGGTCATTGGACCAATCTAGTGGGTCACAATCTACTGGCTTAAAAAAATTTAGGTAGAAAAATAGAAAATACCACTGTGCATCCTATGGAGTGAAATATTGTTCAATCAAATTTTCTTTCAGTTTTATGCACACACATTCATATCCTAGCCATGAAGCAAAATGTTATAGTGGGTGAGAGTTGAAAAAAGTTAAACAGGGGTCTTGTCCACCGATACCTACATTTTCATTTTAAGAAAATTGAGGTTTAGGGAGAGAAAGCCATTTGTCCAAAGTCACTCAACTCGTGAAATTTGAATCCAGGACATGTGGCCTGACTTCTAGGCCAGGCCTCGTCCCCACAGTGGTTTCCTTTCTGTGAGGGCACTTGGAAGCATACATGTGGTTCTGGAGCCAAAGGGACCTGCATTATGCTGTGGGCAAGTCACTCAACCCTCTGAGCCTGAGTTTTCCCATCTATAAAATGGGCCCATACCCAGGGTATGGTAACCATTGTGAGATTACATGAAACCCATGGAAGGGACCTGGAAGGGACCCAGATTGTACTATTTGCCTTTACTTTCTTTTCCTTTCCAAATATCTAGTCACATAATACAACTCCCCTAACCAATACTTCCCCCCAAACAAACATCCTGGAGGGAAAAGCTCCTCCTTTCTCGGTCAGATTCCAGCATTTCTCTGAGCTTGCTGGTTCTCTGCTGAGGGCCTGAGTGACAGCTTTGTTCCATCTTGGGTCCCTGCAGATAAGGAATGGGATTGCTGGTAACGTGGGTGGATTGAGAAAATTCCAACATGACTAAGGATTTGATCACACCTGGAGACCATTGTGGAAGAATTTTACCTGTAGATGCACCTACAGAGAAAAATGATGGCTCGGATCCCACCTCCTGCCCCAAACATATGGCCTTGTTATAAGGCTTGGCATGTTGGAATCTTCTCCAAGCACGTGGTGCAAGAAGATGGTGCATAATTATTTGGAAAACAAATGCTTTCTGGGGACTTTTAATTTCAACTCACTCAGAATGCCACAGGACCGCAAACGATTGTGGTACCCGAAAGAGTGAGGGACCAATTTTCTTCCTCTTGGTATCCGCTACCGTGTAGACCAGCACTGTCCTGTAGAAATATGCAAGCCACATATTCACTTTAAATTTTTTCTAGTAGTACTATTTTAAAAAGAAAAAGAATTAGGTGACATGAATCTTAGTGATATATTTTATTTAACCCAGTTTATAGAAAATATTATTTCAGCATGTAATTCATATAAAAATTATTAATGCTCTATTTAACTTTTTTTTGTACTAAGTCTTCAAAATCCAGTGTTTGCTTTACACTCACAGCTCATCTTCATTTGGTTAGTCGAATTTCAAATGCCCAGTAGCCATCTGTGGCTGGTAGCTTCCACGCTGGACAGCTCAGGTATAGTCATTTGTGCATAGTAGGAGTTCATAACATTTTGCTGAACTGATGCTGAGAGTGGACACCTGTTGAACGGCAGGCAGGATGCTGAGATCAGAGGATTGAGACCGAGAGAAGAAAATGGGAGAAGGGCCCTGATGGTGAATTTGGAAAGAAATCCCTTAAAATGAGCAAAAATGTAGCCTTTAAAACTGCCACAGAACTGCCTCCCTTTCACAGACTACATCAGATGTGTTTGTCGGTCATGACATAGAAAGTTCCAGAGGTGCCCAGAATCAGAAAACCTGAGTGGGAAGTGTGGATTCGATGCCCCTGTGCTGTGTGCTTGTGGGGCCAGTCATGGGATCAGGGGGCCATGCTGAGCCTCACTGGCAATGTGGCAGTTTAGTTGGCCTCGGGTTGAGAGCTGTCCCCCTGAGGTCTCATTTTTATTGCAGGTAAAGTTTCTACTCCCTTCTTGAATATTTGAATCAAGAAGAACCTTAATTTTAGCTTTTGTTGTCTGTGCGTTTCAAGGAATTTACTCTAAGTAAGAGGAGAAGCTCAGTATGTCTTTGTAGAGGACGAGTTCTTGGGGGGAAATGGAAATTTGGCTGCCCCATTGACACTCCACATACTGTGTATGGAGGAACCATCTGCTTGGTGGAAGGAAAGCAGCCTGGAGCACTGTTTGCCTGGCAGCTGTGTCACTAAGATGAAGACATGAACCCTGAATCATTTGGGGGCAGCTGATCCATGTCCAACCCAGATTCTGGAAGGCGCTGGAGAAATCAGGACTAGGAGATGAGGTCCAGGGCCCTTTGAGATCTGTTGTACCCCTTGGAGGGTACAACATCAGCATCAGGCGTAATAGAATGCTAATGGTGGGGCTCAGGCCATGGATCTGTAGAGATGGGAAGGAGAGAGCCACTGTGGGCCGGGGGATGGAGGGGCTGCCTGGGACTGGGTTGGGAGACAGTGGGTGCAGGGGCCATGTGACTTCTTACCTGCAGTTCAGGTCTTCATGTACAGCCAGCTGTCCAGGGCCTCTCTGTGGGCTTTTGTCCTCTCTGTTCCTCCAGGGTACCGTTCAGGGGTCATTTCCTCCAAGGTAGTTCCCATCCTCCCTTCAGCCTCACCCAGCAGGCTTGACCATTCCTTTCTGCTGCCCGCTGTTCCCGGTACACATCTTTGTCCTCAAATGTAACCCTCAGGAGCATGTTTTGTTGTGTGCGAGGCTGCCTGGCCATCTCGGCTGTGGGATCCTCCAGGGAGAGCTACATGTCTGCCTAGTGTCTGGCTCCCAGGGAGACTGCAGTAATGCTGATGAGAGGTTAAACAGAGGCTGAACGGAAGGAAAAATGCACGAACTCTAGGTGGGAGAAAGAAGCAGGAAGGCGCACATGGGCTCGCCCAGGCTCTCTGGAGTGGCAGAAGCAAAGGAGGAAAGGTGGACAGGTTGATGGCTGGTCCAGGAGGAACATGGGCTCTGTCCTTGCTCTGGCCCTGTGGACTCTGGAGGCTGGCCCACCCCTAGCTGTGTGCAGCCATGATGGGGACTGGCCCAGCCCACGGCAGCCTGTGTGTCAGAACAAGTCAGTCCACATCCCCTGGTGGCGTGTCAGCCACAGCCTGCTGTCAGATATCTGGTGTGAGGTACACCTGTGCCCGTGTATGGAGATCACTGATGAGGGCCCTTCAGATCGATGGAATGGTGCAGAGACCGTTCCTTCCCGCACAGATGCACCGAGGCCCACAGAGGTGAGATGGTTTGCCAAGGCCAGGCAAGGACAGATGGGAACTAGAATGATGCCTGGGAATTATAAATGCCAAGCCCTTGTCCTTCCTTTCATCTGCATCAATTAGTGTCTGGTTGCAGCTCCCTGAGCTTCACCTTCATGAGCGCCAGTACATGAAGTCTGTGGACCCTCACTGGGGTCCGTGGAGAACTATAAAGAGGTGTGAAGTGGAAGGCGCAGTAAATACCCAGATGCACTGTCATTTACAGGTGGCACGGATGACTTCAGTGGGCAGGCGAGCTGTCTTCACTCAGGCATCTGAGAGTCACACATATATGTCTGTCCAAGTACCAGAGCTACTGGGTAGAGGAATCAGGACAGCGTCAGCCGAGGAGCCTGAAGGGTTTAGGTTGACGGCACACTGGCCCAAAAGCCCTTGTATTCCACGCAGGGCTGATCTGATCCCGGGCTACCGCCTCACAGCTGATAGAGACCTCGAGATGTCCCTTCCACACCAGGTGGGCTCCAGATACCATTAGAATGTCAGCTGGGCTTGCATGTGTGGGGGACATCTCCCTGTTTGTGGAGGAGCAGTGGTGTCTTTAGCCTTGTTGTGTGGCTGCTGTAAGTTTCAACAGTTCTGCTCACGGAGGAGGTGGAAGGGTGAGAAAGGAGCTTGCTTGTGCCCCATAATCCCTGGGCCCTCGTCCACTGGCCGCAGACTAGGCTTTCTTGCCAGCGGAGGTGCCCATGCTTGTCTGCCTGGAAGTGGAACCACAAACCGTTTCCCCAGGACCCCGATAGCCCACAGGCATAAAGTCCTGGGGGCCACATCCTGCCCTACAGAATGGAACCACTTGGCACCATGAGAGCCCACTGGGACAGCTGGCCTATCAAGTGGGCTGGAGCCCACTGCCTTCTCCCAGTGTGAGCGCGTTCTGCCATGAGTATGGAGCCTGAGAGGCTCCAACCAAGAGGTGGGCTGGCTGCCTTCTCCTTGGGCCATGGTGGCTCACTAAGGCACAGCCACTTTACCCCTCTACTGAGGGAGGTGGTGAGGAGAGGCTGAGGCAGCCAGGAAGGGATAGGTGAGGGAACAGAGTGACAGCACCCCTGATCCCACTGTGGATGAGTTTGTCTTCTCCAAGGGAGGTGGACGCTGGGCCCATTTTATTCTGACCCTTGTAGAATTAATCCCCAAGACGCTTTGACCCTCCAAGATGGCATAAGGGATTTTCTCTTTTAAGAGTGGGTTATACTTTTAAAAACTAGGGCTAAATGTTTTCTTTCATTCATTCATTCATTCACTCCATAAACATTCTGTGCCTCTCATGTGCAAGGGGCACTGGGCTTGACGCCATAGAACCCACATGATGCAGGAAGTCATGACTTCCATGTGGTTGAACTAAGAAGAGCCTCAGACCCCTTGGCTTCCAGACACACACATGTGTGGCATCCTGACACATGCGTGACCCCCAGCAGGGCAGATAAGCTACCCAGGCCTCAGTTTCCCTATCTACAAATTTGGAATAACTGACTTTTCAGTTCATTCAGCTCTGAATACTCTATAATTCCCCCAGGAATCCCCTCCTGGGCATATACTCGAAACAAGTGAAAACAGGGACACAAACAAGTCCTTGTACATGAATGTTCATGGTGGCACTATTCACAATAGCCAAAAGGTGGGAACGATGGGAACGACCCAACTATCCATCAATGGAGAAATGAATGAACACATTGTAGCATAGCCATACATAGAAGGGGCAAGGGGGCAAATTGTTGAATTTGCCTGAACCCACCCTGAGGAGGAAGGAATAGAGAGGGAGGGCAAAGGAGCAAGCATTCCTTTAGCACCCAGTTCTAGTGCCAGGCATTGTCTTGGGTGCTTGTAGATGGATTGTGTGTTCCATCCGCAGAGGACAGATAGGGTGTCCAGGGAGGCTGCAGGGTCTTCAGCCAGTGGTCCAATTTCTGCAGGTGTAGACGGATTAGCCGACAGAGCAGGTGGGGCCGTCCTAGACGCCTCCGTTTAACCCGGACACTCTCCCATTCAGGTGCAGGGAGGAGAAAACCAACTCTGGGAAAAAGCAGAAAGGATTTACCTGCCCCTCCCCACCGGAAGCAGCCCTGGAGTTCTTGCTCAGAAACAGCTCTGTGGTTTTTGCTCCTCCGGAAGTTGCAGGTTAAGCCCTCGGATCCCATCCTGGGAGTGGGGAGGTGGGAGGTGGAATAAGTCAACCCAGATGGTGCAGTCATTGCGCTGCTGCTCCTCTCAGCCAAGCCCACAGGAGGGGAGGCAGAGCTGCTCTTGGGCTTCCTGGAACTGCAGGCACCAAACAGGTCCCTGGAGGTTCAGGCACGCGCCTCCTCTCTGGGCTAGCTGTTGCCACTTCCATCCTGCTTCCTTCTTGTCGTCTTGGGGCCCTGGGCTAGAAGCCCTCCCACATTGCAACCCCACCCCAGACAAGAATGCAAGGAGCTGCAGCCAAAACCCAAGGGCGCCTCTTGTGTCCCATATCTCCCATAGAACCAGGTGGGCATTTGGGTGGGGAGAGAAAGACCAGGTGAAAACCGAAAGTCTATTGAGTAGGCTGTTTAGCAATGCCTTCGATGGCAGCCCACACGCAGAGGAAGCTCACTGTGCATTTCTTAGTGATAATAGCTGTAGCCCTGTGGGGTGGGAGAAATGGGGCTTGAGACAGTACACTGAGGAGAGGCCTGTATACTGGGAAAATGGTGAAACACCCCTTTTCTAGTCTCTTCTTGTACCTTGTGCCACCTCCCTCTGCTCTGTGCACTTTGACAGATGATGTATTTTGATGCCGGCAAAGGTGTGAGTCTAATTAACTAGAGAGGTCAGAGAGTCAAGAAAAATTGGAGAATTTAAAAAAAAAAATGGTGCCAGTACATTAATGACTATGTGACCCATCACAAAAACAGCACTGAATGGGAAGGACTTTGGCCAGCAGGAGACCTAGGTTTCAGTTCCTTTGATGAACCAAGAGTCCTTGACCAAGCCATTTTCCCTCCCTATTTCCCCAGCTGCAGAGCGCTGAGAGCTTTCTGCTACATATGCTTTGACTCTGTTCTCTCTGTTGGGCCAGAGAGAGCATCTTTGAGAGTAGGCCCTTACTCTTCTCTCCATTCTATCACTGGAAGGTTCTTGGGGGTTGGGAAGACTGGGTCTCTCTCTCCCAGACCGAGTTCTAGCTTATTTGACGTGAGGATGTCATGAAAACCGTCCTCTCTATGCAGGAGATATGTCACTGAGCCAGCTTCAGTGCGTGGTTATCCACACAGGCTGCTGGGATGTCCTAAGTCATTGTGCTCTGTTGGGGTTCCCTGGTGCCCAGTGGTACTCATCCATTCATATGACAGGCACTCACTGAGCCCCTACTCTGTCCTAGGCCTGCAGCTGGGGGGCTCGAGGGCCGCCAAGACAGGGAAGGTCCTGTTCCCGAGAGCTCACGTTCCAGGAGGCCATGTCACTAGGCCCCCACTTCATGCCCAGCCAGGGGCTGAGAGGCAGGACAGGGCCTAAACCCTAAGAAGCTTAGATTTCCACTGGGGACCACAGGAAACAAATTAGAGTGAAGAGAGAAAAGGGAGAACTGAGGACAGGGGAAGAAACGAGATCCAGGATCAGGACCAGGGCACTGAGCAGAGCAGGAGGCGGGCAGGGGCCGAACCACCCACACCAGCGGCAGCAGGGCCCAGCTCAGAAGGAAAGCGGGTGGGGAAGCAGGGGCGGGGACCAGCTGGCCAGCCACAGCCAGACTTAGCCCTGCAAAAAGGGAATTGCAAGGTCTTGTTGGGTGGGGAGGGGAGGAGAGGAAGAGGCGGAGGGGGGAGGCGAGGCCTTCTCCCTGTTCAGATTCAGGGCCTGTTCGAATTCTTTGGCCCACAAGAGCAGCCTGCTGGGAGCCTGTCTGTACCTGCCCACGACACTGCGCCCGTCCTGGCCCCAGGGACTCTTCTGTTCCCATTGTTTCCCGCACCCCACACCCCAGCCCAAGAATAAAGATAACCATCCCCTGCCCACCACCGCCCGCCCTCCCCACCCGGGTGACTCAGGCTGGTGGCCGGGTGGCAGCCGTGCTGCTCAGCCTGGCTCCGCTCAGCTGCCTACATCTGCTGCTGATTTGCTGGGCCGAACCAGTAGCCTTCATGTCTCTGTGACCTAAATTAGGGTGGGGTTTCTTTCCTGGATTAAAAAAAAAAAATGGTACCTTTCTCCCCCTGTGGTGTGCAGATTATTATAGTGTCTGCTTGCTTCCAGGGGACAAGAAAGAAAGTGAACTGGGACAAGTCCAGTTTAATTGCGATGTACAGCTGCCCGAGGTCTCCTGTCCACTCTGGCCAGTTCTGAGCCAAACCAGTTTTCCATGGCCAAACTGGGCCCGGTTTCCACAGCGTTTCCTGTCAGGAACTTCCCCCGCCCAGTATGTGCTGTTAAATAGGATCCTTTTCATTCCTTTTCCTCTTATAAACTTCCCTTTCAGGTCATCATGAAGGGAGAGCGGGGATGTGGCCGGGCAGGGGGAAGGGGATGCCAGGCTCCCTTCCCAAAAGGGCGGTGGCTCTGGAGGGAGGCCAGCAGGGTGCTGGCCAGGGTCAGGCACCTGGGGTCCCAGGCCCAGGACGAAGCACAGAGTGGCTTCCTCCTCTGCAGTCTGCCAGCTGCTTCACCCATCAATAAGGCTCCTGGGTGCCCCCTCTCCTCCTTTCCCCACAGAGGAGGTAGTTACTGGTGAAATGGGATTTGAGGAGTAATGGGGAGGACCCCATCCTAAAAATATATCCGCCACAAACTTCCCACAGGAAGTGAAATTCTACCTTTCCCGTTTCAGTCCGTGCTTGTCTGCTTGTTGCAAGCTCCCAGGGGAGGTACTAGTAAGGCTTGCCTGCTCCGCTCACCCCTGCATCTGTCTGTTGAGTCGAAGGAAGCTGGCAGCTGCCCTTCGGGAATGGGACATGGGAAGGCTGCAGATCACTGGGAAAGGTGAGCTGGAGGTGGGCACCAAAGGCAGACCTGGCCAACTGAAACCATTGCCCAGGGCCTGGCCGGGGAGAAGGGGAGAGGGAGGAGGTCAGGGAGCGTTGACTTCTCCTGGCCCTGGGCTACAGTGTTCAGAGGTGTCATCTCCCCAGTCCTTGGATCTGATTTGTAAAGTGGGTATTTTGTTTCCTGTTTGGGGTATTCTTACCCCATTTTGCAGATGAGGGACTTGAAATGCAGAGAATTGAAGTGACACCCGATCTCACACAGCTGGGACTAGAAATCTTGGCTGTCTGATTCGAAAGATCAAATGCCTTCCTCATACCCCCGGCTGCCTCAAAGAAGCATCCATGCTTCATTCATTCATTCATTCATTCATTTATTCATTGTAGAACATACATAACATAAAATTCACCATTTAGGTGATAATTTAGGTGTATAATTCAGTGGCTTAAGTACATTCAATTGTTGTACAACTATCACCACTATTCATCTCCAGAAATTTTTCATCTTCCCAAACTGAAACTCGGCATCCATTAAACGAGAACTCCCCCTTACTTCTCCCAGCCCCTGGTAACCTCCATTCTACTTTGTCTCTATGAATTTAACTATTCCGGGTACCTCATAGACGGGAATCATACAATATTTGTCATTTTGTGACTGGCTTATTTTACTTAGAACAATATTTTCAGCGTTCATTTATGATGTAGCATGTGTCAGAACTTCATTCCTTTTTAAGGGTGAATAATATTTCATTGTATGGACAGACCACTTTTATTTATCCAGTCATCTGTTGGTGGATTTTTGGGCTGCTTCCACCTTTTGGCTACTATGAATAATGCTGGTGTGAACATGGGTGCACAAATATCTGTTTGAGTCCTCACTTTCAGTTCTTTTGAGTGTATACCCAGAAGTGGAATTGCTGCATCAGATGGAAATTCTGTTTAATTTCTTGCGGAACCGCTGTACTCTTTTCCATAGTGGCCACAGCATTGCACATTCCAGCTAGCAATGCACAAGGGTTTCAAATTCTCCACATCCTCACTAGCACTTGTTATTTTCTGAGTTTTTTTGACAGCAGCCTCCTAATGGGTGTAAAGTAGCATGTCCTTGTGGTTTTGATTTGTATTTCCCCTAATAATTAGTGATATTGAGCAAGAACTGAGCATCTTTTCATGTGCTTATTGGTGACTTCTCTATCTGGAGATATGTCCCTTCGAGTCATTTGCCCATTTTTGATTTGGGTTGTTTGTGGGTTTTTTGTTGTCATTGAATCGTCCATGCTTCTTTGCTCAAAATTACAGATAATGAGGAGTCTTTCAGAGAATCTAAAGTCATCATTTCTGTTCATAACAAGGACCCCTGGGTGAGCTGCAGTGCTCTCTGGATCTGATAAACAGTACACATAGTGTGTGCCTTTGTGTGAAGCGTGTTTGATTGCTTTTGAAATATCTGAGAATCCATCGCTCTTGTGAAATTTTCATTCATTTATCATGCACGTGTTAAGAACCTACTACGTGCCAGGCACTGTGCTGCAGACATAACAGGAATCCGACATGGTTTCTGCCCTTAAGTACCTTACATCCTGCTGGGGAAAAGTAGTTACAACACAGAGTGATACATGCACGTTTGCTGAGCCAGAAATCCCCATATATAATCTGATGGGAATTTTTGGTGCACTATGCTGTGCTCAGATAGGCTGGGAAAGGGGAAAACCTAGGCTCAGAAGGAAGCTACAAAAAGGATCAGCACAGAAACATCAGGAAAGAGGAGGGTTGGAAAGCCGAGGGTCTGAGTTCCTAGATTCTTCTTGTCTGGAAGCTACCATGATGGCCTGTTGCCATCCCTTCCTCCTTCGTGGCTGCTCTGGGCTTCTAGTCGGGTGTGGACTTTTAAGGGAGCAAAGGGGTGTAAGGATGCAAAGAGTGACTCAGAGGGGAATCTCTGAGCTCCTGGTGCTGTTTCAGGGAGGGGAATTTCCCTTCCCAGGAGAACACTGTGTGGCAGAAGGTGTGGCCCCCATGCTGAGATGGAGCGTTCTTTCTAGCTTTGCTAGGGCTTTTGACTGCCCACTGGGATAGGGGACAGCCTTCCTCCTCCTCTCCTTCCTGCTGTGTCTGGACCTCGACCAGCAACATCGCACCAGTCCTTTTCTCTGGCTGACCCTATCTGATGAGAGTGTC